ACCCGGCGGGAACACTCCGATGATTAAGTTAGTACTCGGTAGGAGAAGCAAGGAGAAGATGAAGGCTAAGAGTGCAGATAGCGCGAGTATTGAGGATGAAGATAATCCAGATCATACCTGTTCTCCTTGATACTAAACTCCTTATAGCAGAAATCGGTTGCCCCTGGCCCCTTGGCTTCTGACAGGGCGGGTATAACCGCCACTGTCAACCTGCCGCAGCCGTTACTGGCAGAGCTGAGGTGGTACGCGCGGGGCCGTCACCGCAGGGTACGTGCCTGCCAGGTGTAAGACACCTTCTAAAGGTGGCAGGCGCGACGCTGCCTGACGAGGGACATGGCTGCTGTCACCAGATTTGTTGGGTATGGTGGTTGGGCAGGAAATCCTCCTGCCCTCCTTCATGCAACTTGCCAAGCTACCACATACTGGGCTGCTTTGGGGCAGATCGGTCCCTGTCTTGAAGCACTGAGGTGCTCCCTTTCAGGCGGGGAAAAGCTTGGGATTCCTTTGGGAGAGCTCGAGCTCTCCGAGCTAGGCGGGAGTCGGACTCACCGAGGTGTTAGTCCTCGGTGAGTTGTCAATCTTTGACTTGGCGCTTCCTTCCCATCGAGTCGAGATCATGCTGCTAGGCTGGACTGTCCACCAAGCCAGGTCATGCGCACATGTTCTTGGTCCATGGGGTTGGGCCAAATCATCCTCTATTAGTAATCGTGTGAGATAGATTTTTTGCAAAGTAGTTGGTTGTTAAAGGTTAATTATATACTACTTTACCTCGCTAAACACTACACTATTGTCAATGGTAGTAGTCAACTATTGCTTATTAGATAGTCATTTATTGACAACATCCAACCTTATAAAACTTTAGTAGCTATGCTTCCAAACTTAGAATGTTTACAATTAAGACCAATCTTGAATTTGGGAAGAGTTTAAGAACCTTTTCAAGCTTTAACTATTGATTTCTAAAAATTGGTATAACCATTGTAGGTCTAAGTAAAACCCAAGTAGTGCATATTGCAACTGATTACATCAAGTCATAAAAAGAAAAAAAAAATTGGAACAATTGGAGCTTGATGTCTTCTTTTTCTTATCCTTATTCATGGTAGCATTTCTTCTTGCTTTCCTAGCTTAGAGATCATTCAATCTATCATTTGATTAGGCTACTCCTTTGTGCATACATTTGTTTCTTCAAGTCTTTGAGTTCAAGCAAAGAGTCACTTTTTGCAACTGTACATTTTATGTTTCCACAATGTTAGTGCTCTATATGAGCTTTTTTATCATTGAAATACATAAAACCAACAATATCCACTATCCTCAAAACGAAGGATGACAATCCTTCGATGGGTACCCGCCCTTTTTTTTTGTTAAAAAAGGTTGTCTATGGATTTTAGGTTTTTAAAACCCGCATGGGTACAAGTAGGGAATGGTGTTAGGCTAAACCCAACCTATACATTGTATTTACTAAAACACCTATAGTGGTTATAATTAAATTATAGGTTCTATTATGTTTGGAAGACACCATGCATGAAAACTTATAACCCAATCAACCAAGATCATAAAAATGATAACCAATCAGATGGGTTTTCATCAAAATTCATGGGGATTTTAATTGGTCAAAGCCTTTTTGATGACATCATATATTTTCCCTTATTGTTTGTAAGGCATGTAAACTTATATATGATGTGTTGAATTTAATAATGTTTTGAATATTAAAGGATATTTGATAATTTGTGTATTTTCTTTAGGATTTTTTAGCATTGACAACCCAATCAACCAACATCATAAAAACGATAACCAATCAGGTGGATTTTCATCAAAATTCATTGGAATTTTAATTGGTCAAAGCCTTTTTGATGATATCATATATTTTCCCTTATTTTTTGTAAGGCATGTATGATGTGTTGAATTTAATAATGTTTTGAATGTTAAAGGATATTTGATCATTTGTGTATTTTCTATAGGATTTTTTGGCATTGACAACCCTCGAACTTTGTGAAAAGGCTACGCCAAAAAGTTTCAAATAGGCCACTTTCGTCCTCAAACCATGGTGAGAATGCCATTTTTAGGCAAAAACTGACATTGCTAGAGATACTACTTACGATTTATGTTAGACAAATAATAAATTAATAAGCCCCGCTAATGTGGCATTGTTCAAGTCAAAAGATTTATTTGAAAAATTACATTAGGTCCCATAGAAAATCTCCACATATTCACATGTGGAAAACATATATTTTTATTTAATAATCAATCATTAATAAATTTTTACTAATAAATATAAATATATTTATTAATAACAAATATTAATATTAATTATTAATAAAATAATAAATCATTAATAATAAATATAAATGTATTTGACCAGTTCAATTCATTGGTTTTTATATTTATAATATATAATTTTTTATTAATAATAAGATATAAATAATAGTACTAGTTTTTATTAATAGTTTATTGGTAATTAATTATTAAAAAATAATTATTTTGGTTTTATTCTTGGTTTGATGTGAATAGGTGGAAATTTTAAGTGGGATCCACCTATTATTTTTCCCATTGAAATTACTCAAGTTAAAAAGTCAAATATTTTTTGTTTTACTAATAAATCATTATTTTTATTAATAATTAATTATTAAATAAAAATAATTATTTTTTGTTTTTGTTCTTGGTCACATGTGAACATGTAGGAATTTTATGTGAGACATACTTGTATAAATTTCTTAAACTAGCCTTATAGTTTAGCTAATTGATTAAGTGTACCCTTAATGTTTAAAAATTGACCATCATTATCCCTACTATTTTTTGACAATTGTCTAAATCTTCCTTTCACATGTTTGATTTAATATTACATAATATCCAAAATACCCTTCGTATGTCGAAAATGCCCACTTGACTTGGACAAGAAAACGAAAGGAGTAGAAACATGCATCCGAAGATTCAAGCCTCTCTGGTTTTTGTGCCAAATTTTCAACTCTCTGAAACTGGTTCCCCTCTTAGGTCGCCATGGATTCTGAGATCTATGGCGCATCAAGTTGTTCTACTTGTTGTTCCTTCTCTTATTTGCTGCAATCGGCACTGCATTGTCGGAAAACTTAGGTGTAAATCAGTTTTCCCCGTCTAACTCCGAACCAAATCAACTCTCATTCCGTCATAGTGGCCCTCCTCGACTCACATTACACCGAACTCTCCGAGCTGGTCTAGAAAGCTCTCCTTTTGCAAACCTATAAGAAGTGATTGGGAAGTATAACATCACCATTTTCGCTCCCAAAAATGAAGCTTTGGAAAGCGACCTCAATCCCGAGTTCAAGTGGTTCCTTCTCGAGCATGGTAATCTCAAGTCTCTTCAGACTCTTTTGATGTTTCACATTATTCCCAAACGGATAGCGTCAGATGATTGGCTGAAGATTGCAGCTAAGTCAGTCAGACATCAGACGCTTTCCAACGATCACCTACACTTAACGTGTAAGGATTCCGGCAAGAAGGTTGTTGATCTTGTGACTGTTATCCACCCCGATGTTGTGGTCCGCCCCAATGGTGTTATCCATGGGATTGAATGGTTATTGATTCCACGATCCGTGCAGGAAGATTTCAAACGTCGCCGAAGCCTCAGTTCTATCTCAGCCGTTCGACCAGAAGGAGCACCGAAAGTGGACCCTAGAGCCCATCGGTTGAAGAAGGCGGCACTACTTGCTCCCCCCAATTCAACTCCTTCGCTCTCGATCTACGAGGCCATTGCTTCTGCTCTATGTAGTGCACCGGTACCTGCACTAGGGCAGGGTAGTCCTCACCATTGGTTTGACGGTGAGAGCCAGGTGAAGGACGCCATCCAAACTTCCTACATTACAGTGGATACGAGTTAGCAAATATTCTTGTGAACATGATATTGTTAGCCACGGAAATGGGGAAACTGGTTTCTGACGGTTACGTATTGACCGGATTAGCACCTAACGACGAGGCCTTGGCGAAGTGGACCAGCTGAGCGAACCTGGAGCACCGGAACAGATCATGTACTACCACCTCATCCGGGAATACCAGACGATGGGTCTGCCTATTTGTTCGGTCCTAATATCTACACGGACGGTTGGATTTCAATGCAAGGCATTGACGGTGTGTTGTTCCCGCTAGAAGAGCAACAATTGGAACTCGAAACGAAAACAACAAAAACGGTCAAGCCCTCCAAGACTTCTAAAAGCAAGGAGAGGTTCGTATTTTCATCATTCTAATTAGTATTGTCTTTCATCTGTCATTGCATCTACAATAGAAAAAAAAAGAAAAAAGCATATTACGAAAAAAGAGTATCGAGGTGTTTGGTTTGGGGATTTATTCAACAAACGCTGCTATATAGGCGCCACCTCAACAGTTCCCCTCTCTTATTCTTGTCATCTTGTGTAAACATCGAGAATGGTAAAAGTGGACTTCAGTTTTTGTGCACGCTTACCGTATAGGGAAGTTATTTTTTAAAGCTTCACCTAGTGATGCCTAGGCATGGGCCCGTTTGGCGTGTCTTTATGCGTGGTCTTTCGGTTGCTTACAAGCTAAGAAAATAGATTTTTGATCTATTCCCGTTTGGCTCGCAGCAGATCTAACCGCCAAAAGACGGAGCACCGAAAAGATACGAAAAGTCCATTTTGGGCTGATTTCAGGAAGCTTCAAATGAAGTTTTTTGCATCTTTCGTTTTTTATTTTCGCACAGAAAGACACAGAAAGATGTACATCTCCCAAATATGCTTCGGGTTGCTCAGCATGCAAAAGCTCAATGCGTCTTTTGCATGTTAGAAAAGCTATCAGAATAACTTTCCCAAAAAAACACGCCAAACAGGCCCGTAATTATTACTTTTTCCGATTTTGCAAACAAATAAAGTACAAACGTTGAATGATGAAAAAATAAACGGCTATGCCAATGCTACACCGTTTTCTAAAAAAACACAGGAAACGGCATTGGTTGCAAAAACCATCACTGTGGGAGTAAAAAGTACAGAGAGGTTTTAGTAAATTTCCCATTTGATCGACTGCGAATCATCGGGTCCATATTAACGTTCGGTCATAGCAAGACGGAAAGGGAGAAAGTGGGGAACCGGAACTGGGAGAGTGGGAAGGGCATTTCAATTGCATTTAGCCGCGAAAAAGGAAGAAACAAGAAACCCCTCCCAAAACCCTCGATCCACAGACCGTCGCAGAAGCGGGGAACATGTCGGGCTTTTCCTTCACTCCCTCATCCACTCCTTCCTCCTCGTCTTCCCAATCTCAACCATTATCCTTCAACTTTTCATCTTCTTCGTCATCTCCTCTCTTCTCTTCTACCACCCCAACGTCACCCTTCGCCGCCGCCGCCACCACCTCTTCCTCCGCATCCCCCTCCCTATTCGGTTCTGCTGCTTCATCTGGTGGTTTCTCATTTGGGGCTTCGTCGTTTGGTTCCACTCCTTCCGCAAACCCTACCACCTCTTCCTCAACGACGCCTAGTATCTTTGGTGGATCCCAGTCCTCTTCGGCCCCGAAATTTTCCTTCGCAACCGGTTCTACTTCGTCCTCGTCTACTTCAAATTTTTCAACTCCCTCTAGTTTTGGTGCATCTTCTGCGTCTGCTCCCTCATTCTCGTTTCCATTGTCTACAAGTTCTGCATCGTCCGCAAGTACTGGTTCGTCGCTGTTTGGGACGTCTTTGACATCTACGACTTCGGCCTCTTCTGCTAGTCCCGCCCCGGCGTTCTCTACTCCGTCAATATTCGGATCTCCTGCGACCACTTCTTCTCCTTTCTCTGGTTCGACATTGTTTGGAACTTCATCATCCTCTGCTTCTACGACTACTTCTACTAGCACTCCCGCTGTCTCTGGTTCGATTTTGTTTGGAAATTCATCATCTTCGGCTCCTACAACTACTGCTACTAGCACTTCTGCTTTCTCTGCCTCGACATTGTTCGGATCTTCCTCGACTTCGACTCCTACAACCACAGCCGCCCCTTCTCCGGCTTTCTCTGCTTCAAAAATGTTTGGAGCTTCTTCGGCTTCAACTTCTGCTGCTAGTACTCCCCCGGCCTTCTCTGCCCCTTCATTATTTGGGGCTTCATCTTCCTCATTGTCATCATCTTCAGCTTCAAGCGCTCCTTCTTTTACCAACTTGTTTTCTTCGAGTTCAGCCTCTGCAGCACCATCATTTTCATTTCCGAGTAGCTCAGCTCTTTCTAAAAGTTCTGCGAGTTCTACTGCTACGATCGTTTCCTCTACCTCAGCGTCTTCCTCTTCTTCCTCATCAAGTTTGTCTTTCGGAACTCCATCATCATCTGCATTCCCAACTTCGTTTGGATTTGGAAGTGCTACCTCTGGCGTTGCTAGCTCTGCTGCAAGTTCTACCGCAAAACCTATTTCTTTAAGTTTTGGATCTTCTTCAGCACAATCTGTTTCTTCAACTGTCACAGCTACCAGTGCTGCAACTCCAGCAGTGAGTGCAACCCCTGCGTCTTCTTCTCCTGCTTTGTTCTCTTCACAAGCTTCTGGCTCATCTGCTTCTACGCCATCATTTCCTGTTTTCGGGACTAGTTCTTCATCGGTAACTACAGCGTCAACATCAGCAGCTACGACCACTACCGCCACATCTGGCACTACCAGTCCTTTCTCAAGTTTTTCATTGTCAACTAAGATATCAGCTCCCACATCATCGTCACAACTCCAATCATCAACTGCTGCACCGGTATTTGGTAAGCTTGACAACACTCTTTGTATAGGTAGACTATTTTTGCTCCCCCAACCAAAGCACACACATACTTTTTATAGTCGTTATTAGATCTTGAATTAAATTTTCATTACTGTGATCAACTTCTTAAGTAAGGATCCTTTTCTTTGAGGTTGTCCTTTTTTTTGATTGGAAACGGATACTTTCATCATGGAAGGTTATAGTAAATTACAACTTTCCATCACCCAAAAAGAGGTGTTTGAACACAAATTACAAAACATCCTAGAACAAATTCTCTCCATTTTAACAAGAACTCAATTTTCATTATTGTGATCAACTTCTTAAGTAAGGATCCCTTTCTTTGAGGTTGTCTTTTTTTTCTTTTGATTGGAAACGGTTACTTTCATCAAGGAAGATTATAATAAATTACAACTATCCACCACCCAAAAAGAGGTGCTGACCCCACTTTAACACAAATTACAAAAATCGGTTGTCGTTGTCCTCTTTTTTTTTTTTCTTCCTGATTGTTAACGGTTACTTTCATCAAGGAAGATTGTAATAAATTACAACTATCTACCACCCAAAAAGAGGTGCTGATCCATTTTAACACATTAGAACAAATTCTCCCTGGAAAACCCTTGTTTTGCCATTTGTTGATCTTCTAATCCACCTAAAGGAAACCCTCTCTCCCTTAGTCCCTTGCTAAATAGTTGATTTCCCTCACAAATTGTCTAAATGCTTGCACCCCCAAAATGTAGGACTCTAGGACTATCACTAGCACTTCTTCTCTTAATGGGTCCCCTGCTCCTAAAGGTCCTTAATATAATAAAGCTAGCAGTTGCCTTCACCATCTTTGAAAACTCCCTCAACTCTAGGACTTAGGTTACCTGTTGAGCTTCCATCAAAGTTCAGCTTCACCCTTTGTTGTGCTAAAGGGGATCGGGATTCCTGAAAAACATTATTTATCTATAGAAGTAAAATTAGCCACTGCATTCCAACCTCTTCAATGGAGAAACCTTTGAAGAATTCGATCAATTTCAGCCAATGAATTATAGTTATGCAGTCAATGGTTTCCTCATAATTTTCAAGTCATTGAAAAATTCTATGATTTCTTTCTTCCCAAACTGACCAAATAACAGCTTCTCTTGTTTCTGTCCACATAACTCTTCCCTTTTTATTCGGTTGCCTAAAGAAACTTGGGTTAAAAAGGGCTACCACATTTTAGGTATGGGTCCACTTACAACCAAAGAGAGAATAAGACCACTTTGAAATAAAAGACACAAAAGGAAAGGGGATTAATAGATGTGTGATCGTTTCATCACAACTCAAGTAAAGGCTATAGACATGGGGTAAGAGGCAGCAATTTAGCCTTCTTTTCTGAAGCAATCCAAAGTATCGATTTTTTGGAGCAGCACCTCCTAGGAAAAGCCCTAATTTTAAGGGGTATAAGGTTGCATCGAATTTCCTTTTTTGGAAAAGACCCTGCCAAGTGAGAAGACTGAAGTGGAATTTGAAAGAAAGAAGGAAAAATGCAATAATCAGAGGAGGAAGCTGGCCAAATTCTACTATCCGAGCAAGACTGATCCAAAAATACCATACTTAGAAGATAAATAAGTTCATCTACCAGCCCCATTTTTGACTCCTTTAAACTTCTCCTCAGATGGTCAGACCCAAATCTCAAGAGATTACTTTCCTTTGTCACAGATAGAAGTTTCCATTGTCACAGATAGAAGAGATTACTTTCCTTTATTTAAAGAAAGGGAAAAAGGAGATGAGAATCTATCTTTAAAACATAGTTGTCAAGGTGACGCCTAGGCGACAAGGCGTCCTTGGAGGTTTGCCTCGCCCAGTCGCCTAGCAGTTTTGTGCACTGGGTTATAAAATATTTTTAGATTTTTAATTTTTTGACATTATAATTATAAAATAGACATTATTAAACTAGAATATTCATKTTATGTGTTTATATACTAATTTCTTTTTATTATTTTCTTATTTTGTTGGGGTATTGATTAAATATATATATATATATATATATTATGTATTGAACCCATGGTTCACAGTATTGGTACACCTCTGTGTATTGGCAGAGGTGTATTGGTACTTATAATGATACTCCCCCTATTTTTTTATTTCTTTGGTTTTCAATTTCATTTTTAAATATATATATATATATTATTTAAAAAATGGGTCCCCGGAAACACCTGTAAACAGGTATCGGGACCCCAAAGATACAATACAATACACCCGATACAGGGCGTATCATATCGAAATTTTGATCCTTGATTGAACCCTCAAAATTTTCAAAACCTGAACCTATAAGCAAGGGAAAAACTTAAAAAACACATTTTCTTCTTCTTCTTCTTCTTCCACCTTTTCTTTTCTTCTTTCCTATAACAAAAGTAGGGGTCCAGCCCCTATATTTTTTGAATTTTCTCTACTTTGTTCTTTTTCTTCTCATAAAATGTTGATTTTCTAGACTTAAACATGAAATTTATACTTTTCTTATGAAAATTATTAAGGAAAGATGGTTATGGAACCTAGGGAACTACCCTAGGATCTAGGGTTTTACTTAAAAAAATCCATCGCCTAGGCGACAAGGTGCCCCCCTGTCGCCTAGCCTCGCCTTGGCACCTTGAAAACTATGCTTATCAGGCATCTTCCCAGAAAAGCATTTCATTACCTACACAAGCGTTATACTTGAAATAGGGAAGAAGGGAAGGGAAAATACAATGGATAGCTTTCCAAGGAGAAAATCGAAAAGCATTATGGTTGAAGCCAGCATCTCATCTGTTGTTTGCCAAAATACCAATCCATGAATGCTTACAACCACTTTGTGCTACAACTTATCTTTCTCCAAGGGAAATCTCCATATCCATTTTCTGAACAATGTTAAATTCCTTACCCAAATATTTCCCATACCTAACCCCCCATTATTCCTACTTCTAGATACCACCTCCCATTTCACCAAACGACTGTTCTTTGTATCTCCCAGTTCCCATAGGAAATTCCTTATTATCCTCACTAGTTGAATGGCAACCTTACTAGGAATCTTGAAGTTAGATTGGAAATAGATAAGCAAATTAGCCAAAGTGGACTTAACTAATGTAGTTCTACCCATTAACTCCTGCCACACAACTCTTTTCCTAGTTTACTTTGAGATTTGAAATTCTTTCAAATTTGGTCACCGATCTATTTAAGTTGAGAAGTTCTTCTGAATCCCCTTCCAACAACAAAATAAGGGCATCCACAAACTGCAAATGTGTTAACATGGTACCGCCATTGCATTCTTTTCAATTCTCCAACCTCTAATCATGTTATCAACGCCAGCCTTTAGAGTCATTTTACTCAATACATCAGCTACTAAAGTGAACAGGAACAAGGAAAGCGGGTCTCAATGCAGCCCCTTATCCACTTGCACAACCTTTCTCCAAAACCCTACAAGTCTACAACTTAACACTTCTAGTAGGAATTCTCAATCCACCATGTCATAAGCCTTTTCCAAATCAAGTTTGAAAATCAACCACCCACCCCCCCCTTTTTTTTCTTATTTTGCAATTAGCAGTAAGGATCTAATCAATTATTTTTCTCTCAGAAACAAAGGATCCTTAGTTTGGAGATATTAAAGATGGAAGGGCATTCTTTATTCTCAAAGCCAACACCTTAGAAATCACTTTATACATGCTTCCCACCAAACTTGTAGGTATGAAGTCCTTTGGAGATATTAAAGATGGAAGGGCATTCTTTATTCTCAAGGCAATAAACGTCATGTTGGCACCTTAGTTAAATTTGCCTCTCTCATAAAATTCAGCAAACACCACCACATGATCATTCTAAATAATATCCAACAATCTTGATAAAAAGCCATTGTAAAACCATCTGTACCTGGTGCTTTATCCCTCTTCATATAAAAAATTGCATCTTTTATCTCTTGGGTCTTAAAGATCTGTTCTAGGGGCTTTATCTCCTTAGATTCAGCTCTCCACTCAAAATCACCTAGTTTTTCTCTTACCCCCTCTGGGTTGTATAGATGGTTTAGAAATTGTCTACGGAAGCTTATGCCATCTCCTTTTCTTTTGTTAAAATTGAGCCATTCCACTCCAACCTGGAAACTAATTTTTTCCTCATCCTGCCATTTGCCAGTGTATGGAAAAAATTAGTGTTTCCATTTCCATCACATAGCCACCTACACCTATATTTCTATCTCCAGCTAATCTCTGCCTCCCTCACAATTTCTTCCAGTTCTTGTTTTGTTCTCCTTATCTATTAGTAACTTGTGTTTTTACCTTGAAGTGAACCACAAAATAAAGAGGAACCTAGTCAATTTTATCTGGCATCTCAACTTTTATTGACTAAGTAATGAAAAGTTAGAATAAGTTATAAAAAATATTACAAAGATCAATTCATCCCTATATTACAAAATTGCATTTGACAACTTAATAAACTTTCACCTCTTAATTCCTGATTTTGCTATGCCCCTTAGCCATATCCTTTGCCATCCCATTAACCAGATGGAGTGACACTTTCAAGATGATGGCTACTTAATGATGTAGGGCAAGAATCACAGTACTGAAATGCAGACCTAATGTGTAGGAACAATGCCAAACCAGATCTGAAACAGAGCTGTAGAATACCAAAAAAGGGCCATTATCCAATGTTGGTCCTAGCTATCTGGGATCTTGGGACAGGTGCATTGGATAAGGACCTAACTTTTGACACTTTTTTTTTAAACTTTTTTGCACAAAGTGGCTTTTCTCAGACATGAACCTGTGTTCTCATGCTTGTCAGCCCGAGATTTTACTGTTAAACCAAGCAATGGCCCCTAAAGCTGTAGAGTAAGAAGAGGAGAAAATAATGATAGAATACCCTAGGAATCCACAACTAGGTTGCTCTAGGAGTCAGCACCTCGAGAGTATTTGGAATTGAAATTTAATAGCTTGACTCAAAGGAGTCAGAACCTTCAAAAATGTTTTGGAGTGTGCATTGGTCAAAGAATAAAAAAAATAGTCAATTGAATTTTTAGAACTGAAGTTTTGAAATGAGAAGTTTGTTTTCAAGTTACTTGCATGTGATTTTTGAAGCTATTAATAGGCAAGTGTCTAATCTTGTTTATTAACTTTTCCTCTCTCTCTCTCTCTCTCTCCTCTATCTCAAAATTGATTTTTTTCACTCATGGTTCAGAACAGTGATTTAAAGGCGCGCCTAGGCACACAGGCAAGGCGCATTTTAGGGTATGTACCTTGCCCAGGTCCTAGGCGCACCTGCGTGCGCCTGATGCGCCTTGTGCCTCAGCCCAGGTGTGCACCTTTTTAAAATTCTGTGCTTTTTGCCTTTTTTTTTTGAGCCTAACGGCTGGGCTGGGGGCTCCCTCCCAGACCCCCGATCATGCCCCTTGAAGCAAGCCTGAACAAGTCCATGTTAGGGTCTTAAATCCTTATTTCTCACATAAAAAACAATGATTTTATAACTTCAATTGCCTTTTAAGAAGATATTTTATTGGAATGAACGGATGAACGACATTAGCAGTGTAGGGAATCCTGGAAGATCAGGCATTGGTGGGGTGTTTAGGGAAGGAACGGAATGAAAATGGCATTGTATTCAGGCCCCATAGGTAATGGCAAATTGGCAATTCCTTGAATGCTGAATTGTATGCAGTACACCATGGGGCATGGACTAAAGCTTGGTAAGTCACTGAACCTCAGAACCATCTTGGTGGAGGGAGAGACTTGCATTATTATGGGCAGTTTGTTAAATAACAGTCTTGGACCATGGAAGCACAGACACACTTAGATTATGAAACTAGTGTGGGAACTCGGAGTTCAGTTTCAATTGATTCTAGGAAAAAGGAAACTATTTAGCAGATGTTCTAGCTAAACATAATAACATTTAGAAGTGAACTCATGACATGTAATACCGGTTCCTTTGGGAAGTTTGGCTTTTTCCTAGAGATTTTGTTGCTCAGTCTTATCAATAATATAAGAATACAACAGAAGAATTTTTAAGGACTATTTCTCTTATCATTTACAAATTGCCCATCAATTTGAACTGATGGTTGGATGGGCTGCTGAAGGAAGGTCATACTACAGAAGTGGCTGGGTGGGCTTTGGGGAGGAGGTGTTTCTTGTGGAGGTTAGTCCATACCATTTGAGGAATCCTGGACCCTGCTATTCACTTTGTGAACACCTTTCTCATGTATGCCAAGACTGGCTGGTAATTTGGCGGATTCTTGTGGAGGTTAGTCCATACCATTAGAGGAATCCTGGACCCTGGTATTCACTTTGTGAACACCTTTCTCATGTATGCCAAGACTGGCTGGTAATTTGGCGGATTCTTTACCAATGAAAATGTTGTGAGGTGTGTTTGGCTCTCCCATGTTAGCATGCAAGGGAGATGTTAAGCTCTTGTTGTTTCTTTTATCTTTTTGTCTTTATGAACTGTGAATAAGTTCTTCCTTGTACAGCTTTGGGATGGTTTCACACTTTTTTATTGATGTCTATATCATACATCTTATATTTTGTTTCTTTTTGTTTTACGACCTTTATCTTTTTGTCTTTATGAGTTGTGAAAAAGTTCTTTACCTTGTGCAACTTTGGGATGGGTTCACACTTTTTATATTGATATCGTTCTTGTACATTTGTTATTTTGTATTTTTTCTCATACTATTAATCCAATGCCTTTGATTGTTACCATTAAAAATTTTATAATTCTTACCTAGATTTTATAGTAAGTATTTGAGATGTTTTACTTTCATGTTACAGACATGGCAAAGGTTGATCAATCTATATGCTTGTTGTAACATGATTTGTTTATTAGTTTCAAAGAGTTCATGTAACACAGCTGAAATCAAACCCGGAAAGGTCATGTTTTATCAAATCAGAATCAGACCCATCCTATCCCAATATAGTCTATACATGTCTCTGTTAATGGTTATGTGGCCTATCTGATTAACCACCCCATTGCCACCTTTCTTTATTCAAGAAAGACTGTCATCCTACCTTCATTTTTAATTGATCAATTTATAGCTTTTCTGGGACCTCAGTGATGCCCATTTAGATTAACTTGTTTAGATTAGTTTAATCTTATCACTATAACATCTCTCTGTTTCTCTTGATTCTCTCTCTTTCTATGTTCATCTGTTTATAGTGGGTTTGTCCTACCAATATTTGATCCTCCTCCTCTAGTAGGTATTGGCTAGTGGATGTTTCTTTAATGTAGTTCTCATTTTATTGTAATCATGGAACTTATTTTTATAGGTGTTGCTGCTTCAAGTTCTACAGCTGCCTCAACTGACTCGGCACCAAAATTCAGTTTTTCTGGTACCAGCAGCAGTGCAGCTCAGACATCATCTACTGTTGCTGTAACTACCAGTAGTGGGTCCGTGCACCTTGCCCTGGTTATGATTTAAATTTTTCTCTCCAGTGCAATCTATGATGATTCTTAAGTCTCCTGATGATTTCTTAGATTTCCTGCTATATAAGTAAAGATTATCCTATATTCATGATTTTGATATTACAAAATATATGCTAACAAGATTGTCGGCCTTTTGATAATGGTTGATTTAGCTGAACTTAGTAGCTTACTTCTTTGTTTTTAACGAACATTTATTAAGTAGGGAGTGCACTCCTATGGATGAATGGCATGTGAGGGTGTTTCAGTCATGAAGGAGCCTACCACCCACTGAATGGCTTATTCACTAAAAGACAAAGCAATAAGCCATTCAGTCTGCCATTAGCAGACCCCCATAGTTGTCAAGGCACCTAGGTGAGCCTAGGCAACTACGGGGCACCCAGGTGCCTAGGCGCCTAGGTGGTGGAAATTGAAAATTTAAAATCTATAGATCCCTACCCCTCTTAAGCTGGTTTATTAGTTTTGTATACCAATCCACAAACCTTTAGATTAACTATCAGCAAGAAAATCTTTCAGGTAAGTGTACATTTCATGTAAAAACATAAACTGCCATCGTATATTCATCACTTAAATATATTAATTTCAATATTTAACTAACAATTCAATATAGCAAATAAGAAGCAACTAATTACTATCCATAGCCGAGAGGAGGAGTGAAAAATGGAGGAATGCAGCGAAAATAAGAGAGAAAAATAAGGGGACAGAGCCCCTATTTCGTTCAAAAGAGAATGCAAAAAATACAGAAAAAATTTTAGAAAGATGGGGTGCAGCCCCTGTTTAAGAAGGAGCCCCTGTTTCATTCCCAAAAATATTCCTAAATAAAATAAGAAAATAAAATACAGGAGTAATAGGACAACTTGGACTGTTTAAGAAGAGAGACTTCTTATTTTTCTTTTCTCTAATTGGTTCAGAGCTCAAACCCTAGACAAAGACTAGAAACTTTCATAGTTTTGTTTTATTATAATTCTCATAATAAAAAATATAACATGTAATGGGGTGTTTTCTAGTAAGATAAAAGTAACCAATAGAAAATGATTATAATATGTGTGGGCCAACAATCTGAATAGGCAATCTAAGTGCCCACCTAGTTGCCTAGGCATGCACCTAATTATCTGGGTGAGTGCCTAAAGGAAAAACATCTGGCATTGGGCGAGGCGACCCATGAAAACTGTCTAGTCATGGGTTTAGTAAGAATTTTAGGTGACCCTTGACAACTATACAGACCCCCTAAGTATGAATTTTAGGTTGTAGTAACTAGTAACAGTTTAATTATGCTTTAGTTATGGTATCTTTGTAGGGGCCATTGCTTGGTGTAATGGTAAATTCTCAGGTTGACAGGTGTGAGATGTTGGTTCTAGTCTGAGAGTGGCCACTTTGTGCTAAAAATGATTAGATCCTTATCCAGTCCACTCCTCCCAAATCTCCAAATAGCTGGGACCAATGGACCAACATTGGGTGATGGCCTTTTTTATGGTATCTTCCTATTTTATGCTGCAAATTCTACTTTATTTGTTTGTAATATAGTATTTTAAATTTCTCATGACCTTTAAATAAAAAACAACCTTGCATTTAAAATCTGATGAGGGTTTTCATTTTCTGTCCTGAAAATGCCCAGTAATATAATTTTCATTTCTAGGTTATAATCTGACATTTGTAACATCTTCCCAGGCCCTATTTATTCTCTTGATTTTTTTTTTAGTTTTAGTTTAACCTTTAAATGTTCTTTTGACTTTTTATGTCATAACTCAGAAAACAAACTAGTGTTAAAAGTCCAATGAGAATTTCCATCTTTTCCTGAAAATGCCCAAGTAATATGATTCGTAATTATGGATTTAATATCTTCTTTTCTGCTTTCTTTTTCTTTTTCTGTAGAACTGTGCCTTCAACTGTCAGTGCAACGGTATCTCCTGCACCAAAATTACCGTCTGAGATCACTGGAAAAACTGCTGAGGAGGTATTTCTTATTGAGCTTAAAATCCATCTATCTTGTTCTTAATGAGCTTAAAGATATTTCTTGCTCTAACTGTTTCAAAGACAACCCCTTTGTGCCTATGCCTCGTGATGATTGTATGGGAACTATGCTTTTGTTGATGGGCGTAGGGGAACTGTACTTCTGTGGAAGAATATGTATCTGAATCATGTCCTTTTCTTTTGAAAAATTGTGGCCTGTCATTCATCACAATTTGTCTCTCTTTCACATTTTTTAGATTTCCTGGTTCTTTCTTTTGGTTGGTTATAATTTTTCTGTCATTCCTCCATTACTTCTATATTTATTTAATTTTCAGATTATCAAAGAGTGGAACTCTGAGCTACAAGAACGGACTGGGAAATTTCGAAAGCAGGCTTGTGCAATAGCTGAGTGGGATAGGAGGATCCTTCAGAATAGGGATGTTCTTCTTAGGCTTGAGGTGATCCAATCATCCAACATGAGAAAATTTTTATGCATTAATTTTTAGAGGTTTTGTTAACTCAATCAAGTTTGAAATTTTAAGTTAATGTGTCCATTTATGATTTTATTTAGATCTCTAACCTATAATTAGAAAAGCAACTTAAATTTGGTTTAAATTGTAAATTATTTTACTCTTGTGCTTATGATAATGCTCTAGTAAAATGGCGTTACCAGGTATATTTTGATATTTGCCTTTTGTGTATGTTGTTGTTGCTTGGCATCTTGGATGTTGGAACATGATCCTGTGTTTTCTGGTCAAGGCCCAACGCGTGGTAATGCTTCACCAGTTATAGGTTAACTGACAATAATGGATGTAATTGGATAACCCACAATTGTTTGTCTGTTCCATTCCAAAATCCATCCTGACTTCTTTCAACGAAGTCTATCTAGATTAATAGAAAAGTTATAATTGGATAACCTAACATCTCCGGAGATTGCATCTGCCTGTATGCTATGATACCTGGATACCCAGACAAGGATGTTGTATTGTGTTGGATACTTCAATTTTTACTGTAAATTCCGTATCTGATACCACATCCAGTTCCAGCCATGCATTTGCTGTATCCAGGTAACATAGTCTGTGCGTTTGTATCTCGAAAGAAAGTAAGAAACCCTTGTGTCCATTATAACATTGGGTTGTATCTGAATCCTACCAAATCCTAACCCTACTTATTAGTTGTCTTATTCAAAGATTGTTGTCACTCCATGAAGTGACCAGGCATGACTTCATCTTCACCCTAAGCTGTACAACGGAGAAAAGAACATTATACTTTAGACTGTTGCTTTATAAGCAATATCCAAGGGTTCAATTTATTTATAAAAAAAAAGCAATATCCAAAGGTTGAACTAGTATCACTCAGCTCAGATTAGCAGTTACAGTGGATTGGACATCGTTGGATGTGGAGGGAGGCAATCAGGTGGTGATTAGATGGATGGGGAAGGGTGGAAAAGGTCCTTTGCTTATCTACCATATCTTATCATGGGGCTACATTTTTGGCACTGTGTGAACAGCTCATTCAAGTGGGTCCAAGGTTAGCTGACCTGGCAGATGCCCTTGCAAGGGAATGGTTAAATAAAACAATTTGTATTGGGGGCTCTCCATTTAATACTAGCTGTTTGGGCTAGGTTAGGACCAAAGTTTGGGTGTAAGTGGGGGGGGGGGGGTACTAAACATGAAAATTACTTTAAATTAGCCAAGGATTTTTGTGCGCTCCCCCTCCCCCCTTGTTTTCATTGCTTTCTGCAACACGTTACCATTTTCTTTTTATCAATAAATCTCTATATAATTCCACTAATCCCAGAAAAAGATTTTTTCTTGCTTGAAACATTTGACTTGGTCTTTGGTCTGTCATTTTGTTGTACCTTGAGAAAAAAATTGTGAGATACTGTATTGGAATCCTGATCTGCTACCTAAAAAACACTAAAGCCATACATCGGGAACATCGCAATTGTCATTCATGGTGAGATTTTTCAGATCTGTGGCTGTAGCATCTTGTGGGTAGCATATCCGAGCCTTTTGTGAGATAAAACCTCATGTTAAAACGCACTTATTACATTCTATTTCAATAAAGGGAGGACTGGTTTTTGATAATGCTTGTTTGTGAGGATTAATGATATATTATGGTTCTATTTTACATTTATCAATGTTTTTGATAGTTGCATGTATTATTTGACCTTATGTTGAATTCTTTTTATCAATATTCTAGCTTGTGATTTTTATGTGCATATTTTTAATATCAGATTGAAGTAGCAAAAGTAGTTGAGACACAAGCTAACTTGGAGCGACAATTGGAGTTGATTGAGACTCATCAACAAGAGGTATGCGATTTACTAGAATGACTTTTGTAGTTCAATGGCCCCATTTCCCACAAGCACCTTAGTGTTGTTGTTTTAAATGTCTTAAGATAAATGTTCACATCCTGTGTGTGTAGGGATTAGGTTTTTAGTTGGGCAATTCAGTGAGCTTCCCTAAACAATCAAAGAATCTTACACATGACAAATTAGTTTAGAGCTTAAAAGATGTCTTCAAAGTCCTCTACCCACCCTCTATTCATGGGCCTGGTATTTGCTGTACATCTTTGATTTAAATGCAACATTTTGGTTTGACAGCATACTGCTCGTACAGTTTCTTTGTATCCTTTTGGATGCATTGAGTTTCAGAATTAATACAGTTATTCATTATTGATCCGAAAAAAGCTCTGTTTTTGATAATTAAAAAATCTCACTTTGGGATTGAGCATGTTGCCAATCTAGTGGGTCTCCTATCTGATTGGATAGTCTGGATCAATCACAAGATCCCTCCATGTGGCAAAAATAGATGGGCTCATGTAAGGAACCTTTTTCCATATATGGGTTATTGCAAAGGAGAATGATCATACTATTGGGTTTGAATAAACAGCTTCTACTTGGGGGCTAAGGTGGTTCTCATAATCCTCTCAGTGGCCTCTTCATGGAGTAAAGTTCACTTAAAACACCTGCTTTTTGGCCAAATCATGGGCTTGTTTGGGGGGGGGGGGTTTCTTGAATTGTAAAATCAAAACTTTGGACTCTTTGTATACTAGCAAGCAAACCCATTCAAATCCAAGTTGAGGTCAATGTTAAATGTTGGTCTAGGGTTGGCCCTCAAACCCACCCAACCCATATAGTTTATACCAATGTTTTATTAGACAGGGTCAAAAGAGTCTCAAGGATATTTAATAGGAAGTAAGGGAGGGATTTAATGGGGTGGGAGGAGATGTTACAAATATTGGCTGTTGAGGGGGGGGGGTGTTAAGAATGATTTTATTAGAGAAGAGTATGATAGATTTTAATAGAGAAAATTAAGACATAAGAGGGTTTTTAATATTTCACATGTCTGAAGGAGAGAAGGGGAGACTGTTTGAGGCCTCTGGTGTGAGACCCTTGGTTCTCCAGGCTCTCCTCCAGCGTACAGTTGTGAAGTCTGAAGATTAGGGAAGCCAAACTGGCAACAATTTTGTTGGAGTTATTCATAAAAAAAAAAACAATTCTGTTGGTGTTTTGGAGCTTCTTCATGTCCTAGATAGTGTTTGTTTGGATCCTCTAAAGCCAGATAAGAGGGTTTGGTCTCCCCACCCAAAAGGCATCTTTACTTGTGCTTATTTCGTCAAGGCACTTTGCTCTCCCCCTACTCAAGATGTTTGTCCAGTCAAGGAGTTTTGGATTAGACCCATTCCTTCTAAAGTTATTCTGTTCTGCTGGAAGGTGTTTCATGGGAAGATCAATACTTTAGATTGTTTTTTTTTTTTGATGAATGATAATAAATTTATTAATTCAGAAGCAGATTTAGAGTGAGTTCATACAACATCCCAGGGAGAGACGTGAGCTGCCGCCCCTCCTTGAATCTTACAAGTAAACTAGGAAAGAAAAGCAAGAATCACAACTGAGCCCAAAACAATTCTTCCCTATTTACCCCTTGCTTAGCTAACACATCTGACAAA